GTTCCACCCCTTGAGAGAAGTATTCAGCGGTACAGTGATGTACTCACTCGCCATCCCGCCCCAGAGTTGTAGATATACGTCGTCGACCACCTTGGAACCGTCGCCCTTCTTCTTCAACCAGAACAGGTGTCTGAAGAGGTTGAAGTGCGGAAGAACCCCTAGATACGCTTCGCAAAAGTGGATAAAGATCGAGATGTGCAAGATGGTATTTGGGTGGAGATTGCATAGACTAATTACCTAGAACTCCAACAGATCCATTTGGAAAGGATGAACAGGAAATCCCAACCCGTGCTAGAAATAATCCTCAAACACTACAGCTTCATGAGTGTGAGGCATCGGGTAGGGCTCACCGCCGGCTGGCCACCATCCGGCGGTGACGCAGTCAGGAAGAACGCCCGCCGCCACCATCCTATTGAGCTCCGCCTCCCTCATCCTCGATGGCACCCATTCCTCATCACGGCTCGCTTTGGCGGCCGCCTTCTTCGGTTTCACAGCTCCCTTCTTCGGCGCCATCTCTCAGATCTGGTTTGAGATTGGTGGCGGATGCACGCGTGGATGTGAATTGGGAAGCATGAGGGCTAAGGAGGAAGATGAAATGACAAAGTGGCAAAGGTGGGAGAGCAGGGTGCGACGATGCAGTTATAAAGCACTCCCCCACCTTTCGCATTCGAGGGTTTTTGGGAAACCACTCCCATGATTTGTGCCCCTTCGGATTCTCCGAAGTGGTTTATTGGGCCGTTACCTGGGCTTTCGCATAACTACAGCCCATATTGCCCATTTATCGCCACAATTTGTTACTACTCGCCGGTTATTCGCCGACTTCTCTGCCATCTGTTACGGCTTAGTAATTACTACTGTACAGCCTTTACTCTGGTTTTTTCTCCAGGATTTATTTTCTTCAAGATTTCCACTTGTGGCTCGGGGACTGCGTCAGCAATATGACTTGGTTCCTCAACGCACTAGAGACTTTCTTCTATTGACTACTGTTTCTGACCCTGGCACCACATGACCAAGTCACCTACTGTAAGGCTCGGGGACCAAGTGGGCACACTTCACCTTGCGGTGAATGTGCTTTTCTCATCTCGAGGCTACGCCCGGGGACTGGCTGCCTGCTCGGCTGGTCTTCTACTTTTCTTCTACTTTGGACCCTGGCACCACGTGACTGTGTCACCTACTATCAGGCTCGGGGACTAAGTGGGCACACTTCACCTTGCGGTGAGTGTGTTTGCTTTAATCTAGAAGACTCCGCGCCTCCTGAAGTTGAAGAAGATTATCTCCCTTTTTTGTGGTCGGACTCTAAGTGGGCACACTTGGTCCATTGCGAAGAAATTTTCAGTTTTGATCTTGAGCTCCTTACACCCTTATGGCAAGTCATACTTGGGTTCGCTGCTCGATGATGGTTCATGCTGCTCAGTGACGGTTCTCACTGCTCGGCGATAGTTCACGTTGCTCGGCAATGGTTCACGCTGCTCGGCGACAGCTCACAACTGCTCGGCAACTCACCACGGTGGTCGGACCATGAGTTTGACTGTTCGGCTTTGTTCGCGCTTGCTCGAACAAGCTCAAGACGACGTTGCACAACAGATACAAGGTGCTCGGGGACTAGCTGTGGGGGGTACAACCCCAGATACCCACGGCAGATCACATGGGATGCGCCCCCAGGAGTGGCCCAGCCCACAAGACGAATCCTTGCGGGGCACGACGTTGCTCGGCGCCTCCCACAAGACACTGGGAAGATATCCTGAAGATATTACGAGATCTGTTATGATACGTATGATCCCATAATTCCTGTAATCTGTTATTACTTTCTGGTTATCTCCTAGATCTAACCGACTTGCAATCCTATCCCCAGACTATATAAGGTGGATAGGGACCCCCTCCAAACTCACGCAATATCATACAATAGCCAATACAATCCAACAGACCACAGGAGTAGGGTATTACGTCATACTAACGGCCTGAACCTGTCTAACTCGTGTGTCTCTGTTGCCTTCTTGTTCTTGATTACACGCATCTCTGCCGCTCAATCTACCTTCGTGGGACACCCCTCGGAGGACTGCCAATGATATTCTGTCGACAGACTCCGACCCGTGTCTCCTACCGGAAGGCCTGGCTAAACGCCGCTTCTGACTCCAACCCGCGTCTCCGACTGGGGATGCACCGAACCTCTTCTTACAGCTCTTCTCCGACTGGCTCAGTCGGAGAAGACTGGGACCAACCGACCGGGGACGCCCGCTCGGTGAGGACCCAGGAAATGGGCGGAACAAGTAAGGCAGGGCGCTCAAGTCAACCGCAATACCAAGGACCGTACCATGTACACTAGCAGGACAGTACCGACAGAACATGTCAGAAGGGTGCCCTACAAACTTCCAGGCATGTCAGAACCTAAGTAGTGATGTGGGCTCCGACGTTTACCCTACAGTGTTGTGGGCGCCATCAATTCCCCTACCAGACGAACACGGTAAAACCTCCCACATGCCTCTGGACATCAACAGTGTTGTGGGCGTCGTCATTTGCCATACATAGTGAACACGGTAAAACCTCTCACATGCGTCTGACATCAACAGTGTTGTGGACGCCTACAAACATCTTGTACCCGACAGCGTGGGCAACAAGACTTAGTAGCATAAGTACACACTCTCTCTTGTAAGGCTGTCCCCTTCATCTATAAAAGGGAATGCGCTCTCTCCCAATGAAGACGATTCAACCAACAACCAACAGACGATTTGAACAACCAACGATCGATTCACTCTCTGCTAGCTTTAGACACTCTAAAGCTACACAGAGCATACGCTCGAATACTCCGTCACTCTCAGCCCTTCGGTCCGGAGTCCGACCGGACCTCTTGCACCTCATCTTTCTCATTCTCGTTTGTAACCCCACTGCAAACTTCGAGCACCTGGGCTCAAGAGTAAAGTCACCGACCGACTCAAACTGAACGTAGGGCACGTTGCCTGAACCAGTATAAACCCTGTGTCATTGAGTGCTATGCCACATCCGATCACAACGTATGGCAAAACTACAAATATTTACTTGTTGGTCACTTTTCGCACCAACAGATATATTATAAGACTTGGTAATTAGTTGGAAATCCAATATAATGCATTAAATACTATTTATATTTGTCTGGATATTTTGAGACACGTTTTGTATTTTTTGAATTCATGGATGACTCATGGCTAATTTGTTAACTAAGAAATTTGTAGTTCAAAATTTTACAATAGAGATTATTTTTTATTTCGAGCCCACTTTCTATTTTATTTATAATTTTCTATAAAGTAAACCACATTGAAATTTTAAATAGGATTTTGTAGAGTTGAAGTTTTTTAGGGATTAATTATATGAGGATTTACTTAGCAAAGGGAGTATAGATTCATAAGACTGACATGAACCAAATTGCATAGAAATTTAGTTGTTACCTTGCAATAAGTTTCAACAAAATTAACATGAATAATAGCTTAATCAGGCAGCCATGGGTTCATCAGTTTGGCACTATTTTTCTTAGCTAGTGCTTTATGTAGAGAAAATATTTACTTGTCTTTGTTTCTCAGTTTGGCACTATTTACTATCCATCAGCGTGCATCACCATAATCTAATCCACCTACACCATCAGGGCTCATCAAACTTAGCCCTTTATATTCAGGCACAATTGCCTTCCGCAGATTCTGTCTTAATGGCGGAAGCAGCAGCAATCACTCTAGATGTTTCGGTAGCACAGAGACTAAATACCAGTTCTTACAACTTCTTCACAGACAGCCAGATCATGGCAAATTACTACAATTCCTCTGATCTTTCCAATCCGCCTCATTGGAGCATCAAAAGCATGACTGCTATCTTCTTGCTAGCTATGAAGGATGCAGATTTCAAGGTTCACAAAATACCAAGGACAATGAACTCCACGGCTCACTCGTTAGCTCATCAGGCCTACAACTCTGATTCTGTATCCACTGTGTTCACTTGTAATGCTGCAATTCATAGGCAGCTTGATCAGTGCCCCTACCATACGGCACTCTTCCATTTCCTGGGAGACCTGTAAGATTCTACATGTAAGATGCTGTTAAATCTATATATATGTCAGTTATCAAAAAAATCCACTGGCAGCAGGAGAGCCATCCATGTGTGCCTATCTGCCTAAGCGAAATCCACCTCACGAGCCACGATCAATGCCTAGAAAATTCATCACCACGTCGTTGGATGAGTAGCACCCCGCCCGCAGCCCACGTGTGCACGCTGAAGAGACAGGGAGAATCGAATTTGAATATACAATTGAGAGCCCTGACCATAAAAGACATGATCTGTCCTCTGAAGGAAAGTATCAAGCAGTAGCCGAATGCCCGTATACGTGTACATAGAAGCGTGGAGAACAAAAGGAAGTCCTTTGGCCGGATGCTTTGGATCCACCTCGGAATCTGCGGGGGGCTTTCATTTCCTGCCAAAATTTAGCAGAATTTGGACAGACTTAGTACACAATTTCACAATTTGCCCTTGTTTTGAAGCACTGGAATTCGCTTCCTTAGCTAGTTTGGCAAGAAACTATTATCTTGAAATGAAGAAAAGAACTATGGAAAACACATATATATGTTGGGTAAATATTCAGTGTAAATCTCTTGTTCGGTACAATCGTGATAATTCTTCTATTGAAACACATACTCATAAGTTTTCAAAAAAAATAAAAATGATGCACAACTTCAATGCATGTATATATGCACGGTCAAAAGTTGATATGCAAAAGCATTTTCTAAAAGTTCATATGAAAATAACAAATTTCACGTGCATATATCAGCCAAGTAGCCACATGCCAAGCCATGCGGAGAGCTTATTACACTTTCACAGAAAGGTGGCATCAGTGCATCACACTCTATATTTCAGTGCAACACAGGACCGTAAAAGTTAAACCAGACCCAAAGCACAAAGAAATAGATGAATTGCAAAATCACGCTATGAAGCCAATCCCATCGGTGAATGGCGAAAGGCACTTTATTTGTAAGGCCACACGTGCATCACTTGGTGGCGACGAACAGCCCCCACCTCTGCTCACCAGCAGAGCTCCTCTGCAGTTTTGCCTTCCATCCATTCACGATATCATCGTAATCCTCCTGGAAACAAATGAAACAAAGAGTTAGATATGATTTAGAGAAACAGAGAAAGAATGTAGGGTTCTAAAGCGCCAGCCAGTTCATTGTTGAACTTTTGATATTTCCATTTTTACTAGGAGGGTTCATTGCTGAACTTCTTAGGGGCTTTGTCGAATCACCTGGGCAAACTCAGACAGGAAATCATCTTTGTTCTTCTCAAATTTATCTAGCTCCTTCTGTAAAACACTGAGGAACTGAAACACAAAACACAGTGTGTCACTAAAACTGTTTATCCAAGCATATTAGTCGACAAGAATATGAGCATGCAGATTGCGCATGTTTAGAGGGGCAGACCTGGTCAGTTCGGTCTTCAGCAATGACATGACTGAAACCAGCATTCTTGAGCATCTGGATAATTTGGGGAACAGAGGTTTATTACTCATCAAACGGAATTATACTTTTAGATCAAAGCAATTGTATTAAGCAGTAACCACGCACAAAAAAAAAAGATCAGGTAAGAGCTAAGAACCACCTGTCCATAAGCCTCCACATCATGGAGATCATAACCCCTCTGCTTAATGTATGCTGCAAACTGTTCTGATGGTTTCCCAGGACTCTTGCAGTAGTCACTGATTAGGACCTTTCCCCCAGGTTTTAGCCATCTGAAGAAACTTTTGAACAAAGATGGTTTATCCTGCAGAGTCAAAAGCAAAAATGACAACTTAGTCAAACAGTCAACTAAAGGTATGCGGTGTGCCACAAGCATGCGATGTTCTAAGGTGAATAGAAAGTGCCAAAAAAAAGATAAAAAGTTTCTACGTACAACTCCAACCGGAGATACTTTCCATGATTCTATATGATCAAGATGTAGCTCTATCATCTCGGAAGAAAAAGACTACATGCATTATATGTGTAAAGCATACTTGTATATGAAGGATAGTGTCACGGCTGTAGATGACATCAAACATGCAGTCTGGGTATGTCTTCGTGGTGCAATCAGCGACTTCAAACTCAACTGAGCACTTACGCCCAATGGAACGCTCAAGGGCAAACAATATCATGTTAATGGAAAGGTCAATACCAACAGCATGGGTACCATACTTCTCAGCCATATAAAAATCACCTCCCCCAATTCCACATCCAACATCAAGCACCTTCTGCCCAGGCTTAAGATCCAGTTTATCCACAAATTCTTTTGTAGTCTCTGGTGGATAGTGATACATAATAACATTTAATGGCACTGCAAATATGTCACAAAAAATGACAAAAAGGGATGTGTCCTCTCACCAACTCCACCAGTGCTCACATAACCATCTCCAAAGATACGTTCGTAGCGCAATATTCCAGTGGCTTTGTACTGCACATTGTCCAAAAAACTTTGAAATCCCCCATCTTCTGATGAATTTACTTTTTGCCATAGCCAACATATCTGGAAACAATGAAGTCATGTGCATCATTAATTTTGCAGGAATGGAAACAAATGTCCATGTGCATGTGCGAGGACAGACAACTACCTGGTTTTGATCTTTCTTGATGTTTACATAAGCCCCAATGCATTTGAAAGTAACCAGAGAAAGTTTGAAGGAAGTGCCATCCTGATTAAAGGTTTGGCATTCTTTAAATACCTAGATGGGAAAAGACATTATCAGCTATTTCCAAGAAAGCTGGTACTCAATCTAAGAAAACTAAAGAGTGGAGTGGGTAAGAACAGAAAGACTTTGAATTGACTGAAATCATAAAAGCAAAAGGGGGCGGCACTAGGCGAGTTTGCATTCTCACTTTGGTATAAAACCTTGGTTCTCGATAGTGTGTCGGGTTAAATTTCCTTTCTAAATCTCCAGATTGATGGAAGCAAGTTTCCCTAAAGAAGATATAGCCACCGACCTTCAACCATTTTACCATTCTTTCTACCAACTTGTCAATCTACAGTAAGAGAGACAGTCAGAAAAATTGGAGGGACAAACATATCCCAATTCAGGTCAAACGATAAATGTAACTTTATCCACACGAAAAGTTGCAGTTGAGTTTTTTCTTTAGCAATAGACCTTGAGTCAGTTTATGATTCTATAATGTACGGTTTGATCATTACCTCCTCATCTGAAAGATACATCAGCAACCAGTTTGAAAATATCATATCAATGGAGTTTGCTTCAATCATCAGGTTCGGGGATGTAACATCAGCACACATAAAGGATGTGTTGTCGTAGTGACCGTTTATATTTTCATTCTACAAAACGATCAAATTCAGCTACCAAGCCTGAAATTATTTACATGGAAAGTGTAAATCTCAGTACCTTTTTAATCACACTTTCAATGAAATCCACTGCAAAAACATGCCCAGATGTGTTAGCCAGTTCACCAGTAAAGCGACCTATTCCTGCTCCCAGCTCCAGTACAGATTTCCCTTCATATGAAGGAAGTAAAGACAGAACCTACAGAAAAGAAGCACCAACATATCAAAATTTTAAGCCTACAAGGCTACAATCACAGGAGCTAGCATATCATCAGGTTCAAGCAGATGAATGACAAACATACGAACTGAAACTTAAAAAAGCCGAGTGAAAAATATCGTCGCAGGATAAATCACCTCGGGGCGCTCCTCCTTGTCGAGTTCGGTGGCACGGGAGTCGAGCATCATGGCCTCGAGGGTGAGCTCCCCAGAGTGCTCCTCCCAGTAGCTCCTCTGCGCCTTCCTCTCATGCACGTCTAGGCTCCCTGCAACAACACACAGCCAGAAACCATCAGTCCCCGCAGTCAACGCCAGTCGCCAGGCCTCAATCCTCATACAAAACCTGCACGCCATGTGCTCGACAGTTATCTCAAACCAATTCAAACGCGAAATGCGCGCGCAACGGGCCAATCGCTTACCATTCACAGCGGCGGCGGCGGCGGCCATCACAGCGAGACCGCGCGTTCGTTTGTTGGCTGGGAAGGGGTGTTGCGAGGCTAACAGCCCTCGACGGCGACGCGGGCTCGGGAGAAGCTCCGGGCGCGGCGGTTGCAGGAGAGCCCGCGCTGCTGCATTCAGAACCGCCCAATCATGGCGAGGTTGGGTGGTATTTAGAATGCGAGGCGGTGTGAGCCGTGGCGACGGCGAGTGGGACTGTGGGACGCGAGGGGCAGTGGAATGGAGCTTGGAGCCGACCGCGATCAACCGTGATGACCGGTCCCCTCTCCCACTCCGCTGCGAGTGGATGCTGCACTGCGCCGGCGTCCTTTTCCATTTCCACAATTGCAATTATTGCCGGACCCCGCCGGATTCCACGGGAAAGCTTTTTTAACCGCCACCCTATTCGCATGGCGTTTATAAATTATAATAATAGGTATATAGATATCCTATCTCTTTTGCTGGTACATACGCATGTTTAGATTTAGACCGTAAAGTTGTGAAATGTCATATCGTGGAGATGTTGTATGAAGTGTTTGATACTAATAAAAAAATAAATTATAGAATCCGTCAGTAAACCACGAGATAAATTTATTAAGCCTAATTAACCCGTCATTAGCACATATGTACTGTAGCACTTTGTTGCCAAATTTTGGACTAATTAGGCTTAAAAGATTCGTCTCGCACATTAGTCACAAACTGTGCAATTAGTTATTTTTTTAGTTTATATTTAATACTCCATGCATGTGTCAAAACATTCGACGTGATAAGGTATAAAGTTTAGGGTGAAAACTAAACAAGGACATATACGTCACTGTTCATAGGATACATTATCTATTTTGTCATAAATGTGTGCCATAGATTATTTACTTCGAATAAAATGCATCGTGATCTTAAGTCTTCAAACTTCGTACTATGGTCCTGTTTGATTTGTAGCGCTAACAACTATATAACTCCTCCGTTTCAAATTATTTAACATTTTGACTTTTGTAGATATACTATTTTTATTATGTATCTAGAAAAACTAAAAAATCTTATAATTGAGAGAGTTGTTGACTAAGCCCTCGTTTAGTTCCGTGATCTTTTTATTTGGTAAATAATTGAGAGAGTTGTTGTAATTTCCCACCAAACTAACTTTTTTTTTTCGCTCACATTTAATGAACCCAAACAGAACCCATGACGGGATGTCTTTTAATTCATAAGAACCCAAACAGAACCCATGACGGGGGATGTCTTCGGCCAGTAAAACTTTCTGGCGTGGAGGATGCACTGCCCATGCAATTGTACGGCTCCAACGGTCCGCTTACCGAGGAAGAGACGCCGGGGGGACCGATGGCAGAGCAAATTGGGTTGGGAGTTTGGGACCAATTGAGGAAACATTCGCACGCCCGAAGACATCGGTAAGATTCACAGTGCCTTCTCTCACTTCACTCGTAGTTAACTCTCCACTGTTGATGCATGGCCCATTTATCTGTTTCACAGAGTTTCTTGGTTCTTATGCTCAAGCTGGCTGTAAGCTTATAGTCTACTTCATCTCTCTCTTCCTCTCTTTCCTCTACCTCAACATTTAGCCAGTTTACAGACTGTCAAATGCATTCGCTGACGGGTGATAAAGAATGAGTTAGCTGGGTCCTGGACCCATACTGCTTATTGGCACGTAGTTTTACATCAGCCGAAAGCCCAAAACAATTCCTTTACAATGAGGGGGTGCAATGGCCCACCCCAGAAGATGGAAACCAGCCACAGCAAAACGGAAAGCTACACAAGAGAGGCCAAGCGGCCAAGGCCTATGGAAGGGCGAGATGAAGCTGGTGCAACATGGCGATTCCCTGATTGGTGATGGTCTGAAGGAGAAAAGCAATTCCAGACACGCCAATTGCTTGTCTTGCATGGGTATCTACAGATTGCACATCCTCTATGTAATACAAAGTATATGTCTAGAGAAGTTGTGCGGCGCCTCCGAAGGGGTTGGTCTGTGGATGCATTCCATTTACTGCCGGGAACGCACCGAACCCGGCGTCGAGGAAGGGGTTTGCTGCAGGAGCGATGCACGCGTGATGCTGCTGTGGTCCGAAGGGATTTGCTTCAATCATCATGGGCAAATGCTGGGGCTGTGAAGCCATGGCTGCCATTTGAACTGACGGTGGGGGAGCTACTTGATTTGACACGGCGAACGGATCGCTTGCCATGAAGGGATTGGGAGGGGCTGAGCCGTATAGCTGTTGTTGCTGCATCTGCCTGTAGGTTCCATCATCGTATAGGCTGTCCAATGTGAGCTTGTCAAATCCACCACCCTGCAAATGGAAAAAGACTCCAGGTTATAGAATTCACAATAAGATCTGAAACAGAATCGCTGGTAATACCAAAGCCACAATCTTTTTTTTTTTTTGGAACACAGAAAGACCATATTCTGGTTTTGATAAAAGCTAAACAATACTCCACACAATAAATTAATTGTTTAGTCATAATTCATCAATCTGTACTCCTGTGTCAGCACAGATTTTTCTTACCAATGGAGAGCAACCTGTAAATAGGTAGGGTTTCATTTCATCTACAGAATCTAGCACAACGTTCCGGAGTTAGCAGAAATGCTGTCAAGTTCTATCCAAACAACTGTTGCATAAGCAGAAAGTATCAATTGAGCCATACAATGATTTACACCTCTCCAGACCATGGTAATGATGCCATGAGGTAGAAAAGTAACAACAAATGTCAATGAGGCAATGTATGCCACCTGGCAATTCATGAAATGACAAGAAATAGAGTTGTGAATCCCAAATTTCCCCTAGTATTATATGAACTGTCAACTATCAACTGAACATTCATAAGAAGCTTTTCCAACGGCTGTGAATGGGAATAATCATCAGTCTCAGCCGTTTGAGATTGGGAGCATCTTAGTTCCTATATGTTCTGGATGTTTATCCATACTACAAAATTCCAGAAAGCTCATTGAGTCTCCGTCGATGACAAGTGGTGCTGTCAGTTGGCTCAAGCAATCGAGGAGGCAAAATACAGCTTCTCAAAAGGTGCTCTATAAAGTAATTTGCACGAATTACCACAAAATAGCAAATTTACTTTTCTTTGTGATTGCACTTTGATAAGATAGCAATTAGCTACTCATTGCTACTAGTTTTCAACTGCAGTGAACCATCATACCAGCGTACTGGTTTTCACTTATCAGCCAGTAAATGAGTTATGCTTGACAGTAGAACTACAGGAGCTTAACAAAGTTGCACGAAACAGAGTACATAGCAGCATAGCATCTCTAAAATCTTTGATTTGGAAAAACTGTGGCAACCAACTGAAAGGTAGATATCCTCAATGAAAGATTAAGAAACGAACCAAATTACTCTCCATAGACAGTGGAGTCATGTTGCTGCTTGTAGTAACAAGAGCAAGTTCCCATCCTGTTGGATCAAATCCTCTATCTTGCTGTGTAGTTGTTGTTGAATTATCAACACCTGCAGCATGCATGCATACACTTCTTAGAACTACATGATATAATTAATAACACAACTATTTGATTAATTACCTGTCGGAAGAATTGCTAAGGCCAAAGCGTTGCTCTCCTCTATTGCCGGCACAGTAGGGGTTGAATCACCTAACCCCTATGAGAAAATATGACATTTAGATTATAATGTAAAAGCATTAATGCCACTCACTTTATGACCATTTTCATACTTACCAGTAAATCACCAGTATCTGCAATCTCAGGCTTGGGAGGAGAAGCTATTTGGGAAGAAGGAACTGGAGCAGGTTCTTCAACAACTTGGAGTTTCTCCTCTACAATAGGAACAGGCTCACGAACTTCTTCTTCTTCTTCTTCTGGTTTGTACGTCAGAAGAAGCCGCTGAGGAAGCTCCTGATGAAATAAGAAGGATAGCCCGTATTTAAGAATCCATTCCACAATAAGTAAATTGCCTGGTATAAACTTGACTTGACAGTAATCATTTATCTCCCAAAAAGAGTGTGTGACATTCACACTGATGACACAATTATCACAAAAATATCAAAGTAAAAGAGAAATTGTTCATCGGGCCACAAATATTGATGTTAACAGTTTCCCTACATCAGGTAGGAGTAGTTTGCTGTCATTAGATATAAAAGAAGAATGAAGTTGTGATCAGTGCAAGCTACATTGAGAATTTGAGATTAGGGGGTGCAAATGTACCCCCTAAACCCCTAAAAATGTTAAAACAATGATGTTATCTATTTTTTCACCATACATGCAACCCCTGTGGAACATGTATATGCACCCACAAGGCAAGAGCACCGCCCCCTCTAATTTGCTCTAGCTTCGCCACTGGTTGTGATATGCTACTTTAACATGCAAGGCACATGAAGTATCACACAAATACCATCGTCAAGACTCCTACTTGTTACTTGTTGTTATAAAATGTAAAGGTGTCATGCAAAAATCCAAATGGTTTATTAGAACCCAGGAACTAACCAGTGGCTCTATAACTGGCATCATACGTGGAGCCTCCTTCACATACTCCTCCATGGTTGAAAGGAATGTTTGTGGTGGCTGAAAATAAGAGAAATCAAATCTGAGTATCTGGTCATACTCTTACATAGTAAAAAATTACATGGCGAACACTGAGACAAATGACCTCACCTCCCTCAAAGTGGGAAACTGGAAATTTCTTGCGAGCTCTAAACCCCGACAACTTTCATAGAAGTCAGATAGGTTTCCAGCCTGAAGCATCAAAGATGTTAATGAGTAGAAATAGCAGCTAAGCGTCTAAGCACACATAATTGTTACATCCTGATCTTCTTCAAGTTAAGATACATTGCACATTACTACCGTGTAGGGCAGTTACCTGCTGGCCAGCCCTCCTGTAAATGTCAAGGGCTTTTAGTGCTTCATGCTTTGGCATCTCAAAGAACTGCACAGTTGTTTGACAGCCAACAGGAAACAGGAAGCATAAGTAGAAATAGCTCAGCTCAACATAGACAAATTCCTACTTCTTTGAAGATTAATATACCTTGTCAACAAGGTTGATAATTCCATCATTTATTGCACAATAAATTTTGAAGCTTTCTTTAAGAACCTGTACAGAAGCAGGATTCACTCAAATTGCGTACGATGCCCCAGATCTAAGAATAAAATATTACATAGAAGGAATTGAACTGCTCTATTATACATTGAATAGGTCATAAAGTGCAATACAGCCAGACAGATTTACAAATGACCAGTTGGCTTGTTAAACTAATATAAAGATCACCTTGTAGAAGTTGAAGCAAAAAAATGACAGAAAAAACAGAGCTTACCTGGGCTAGAGCATATTGCACCAAATAATTGTTATTTGCAGCTCCTTCTGCCTGAATACAAAAGGAAAAGCAGTGCCATGTTGGCTTAGTTAAAAAAGAAAAATACAGACCAAAAAACTAAATATGTTTATTAAATCGGTTTCTTTCACTAATCCAACTTATTTGTTGCAAGGATAAGAGAGAATCACCCGACAGCCAATAAGTCGATATAACAATTGCTGCAGTGCTGGCAATTGCTCCAGCAAGTCCTGAGAATTCAATTCCCTAGTTCTACTGTGGCCCTGAAAACAAAGAAGTTGAATTACATGTTGAAGTATCACCAGCAAGTAATATAGCTACAAATAATGGATAGCACCGCACAGCTTTGGTAAAGTGGTAATAAAATGACATAAAAATACTGGATGAGCATGTCAGAGTCCAGACCTTTTCAGGTCCTTGACCTTGCTTTGATAAACGCTCAGCTTCAATGTCATACTTCAAGACCCTGAAGCATTCTAGTTTTTCCTCCAAAAATAAACCGTATGTGCGAACCCATGAAGAATAATCCCAAGCTGGATATAATTCCGAAATATAAAGACAATAGATTAGAAGGTTATGGAAGAATATTAATGATCCAAATAAAACATCAGGTTAAATTTAAATTGAAGAAATACAGACCAACTGAGCTGGAATCATCCTTGAAGTTTGATAGCTGCAAAATCCGCACTCTCTGAGTAAATGTTAGAAACTCTTCGCAGAATGCAGGATCACCTTCCCGAAGAAGCCTATGGATCACTACAAGTGTCTTCAGAGCAACCTACATAACACAAGAAGAACTCATTGTACAAATTAGACCTATTCAAGCATCGCGTTGTGCCATCTCAACTGAACTCCATCATACGATTCAGGCAAGACCAAAAATTAACCATTAAAAAAAGAGTTTAATTCAAGGACATAACACTACAGGGTGTCAAACGGGCTTCAGACAATCAACAGAAAAGAAGGAACCACACAATTTAAATCATCAATTCTCAGTTCAAATAAAAGCGACCACAAAAAGTGAAGAATTGTGTTAAATGTAGAATTTTCACTGTGCTTTTGTAAACAAGCTTATTATGCTACACAAAGAATTTTCAACTTGGCTGTATAATATCATGATTGCAGCAGTAAATAACAAAATCCTCAGTTGCGTCTCTTTCTGTTTTTTGTTCCCACATCCAAATTAACTAGTACATATACACTCAAGCCACCAAAAGCACAGATAATAAAGGTCTAATTTCTATTGCAATTCCAGATTCACAACACAATATACTATTATATAACTAAACATATGAGCTCGAGCTCTCCAGTGTGCAATGACCAAGGTTCAGATGCCCAAATCAATAGCACTGCATCCTCACTAACTGACTAACCGTGCATGAAACTTGGACATTTGACCGATTGAGCATTTAGTCTGCATTCAATTCCACAGCGTGATCACATTTTTAACAAACGTTCATCGATCACCCAATACCATTACAAGATCGGCACCAATTTAGCAGCTAAAGCAACCATCAGAGCATCGAATACACAGAATGAATCAAATGATCCGAACAGGAGTGCAGCAGTGCTTACAATCCAGTTCCTGGTTTTGGCGAGTCGCCGGGCAAGCGCATGGATGCAGTAGGCGACATCCGCCCGTGGCCTCGCGATGGACGTCGCCGCCACAATCTCTGCAACACCGGCACCGACAAATCCATCAGACAGCAAACTCAAACCGAGAAATGCTTAACCACGGCACTCGACGATCCGGCCAGTTCCTGAAATCAAATTAAGAAAAAAAATGCAAAGGGAGAATATAGGAGGAATCCACGACGCACTGCGCAGGTGGCGCTCCTTGGGCGGGCTCTCCACGTGGTTGGTGGCCCTCACGATCGCGACATCCAGATCCTGAGAAAACAAAAACCACACCCCCAAAGAGAATCAATAAACCCAGTGCAGCCCAGGAGTGCGGCCATGGATCCGACGGCGAGCGCACGAGCGGCGCTCACGAACTGGACCGGTTTGGCGCCCGCAAAATCGGGGGAAAGCATGGGGCGGGTGAGGGAGGATTCGACGGCGGACCTTGAAGTCGGAGTTGAGGTTGGCGAGGCTGAGGGTGGTGGTGTCCTTCAGCGCGCCGTACGCCTTGCGCCAGCTGTGCAGCGCCGCCATTGCTGCCTCCGCCGCCGCGCCGCGCTTGCCCCCGGTGTCGGTCCTCGCCTCGCACTCCTTGTGGCTTTGTGCTTCTCGCCCTACGGTTTGGCTCGGGCTTGGTGCGTGAAATTTTGGGCGCGGGCTCGCGGTACACGGAACGGAACTGCCAACCTTCCCCCAACAAATAGGGGCCTGACCGCAGAGAAGCGCGTTCCTCACCTTCCACGCCAGTGGAGGTTCTTTCTGAGACGATTGATGACTGAACAACGTGCAATTCAAGGCTCAAAAAAAAAGTGTAATTCAACTCCGGATTTGTTATTAGTATTAGTGTTTTTTGGATTATATAATAATAACTCCGGTCCAAGCCCAACGCTGTAGATTAGTGCAATGTCGGTGCCTACTGCCCGTCCCGGAGCGGCAGTTGCAGTTGCAGCCTAGTGTGCCCAACTGAGTGCTGGATCTCAATCTCTCATCCGATGCACATGAAGAATTCATTCATTTCAGATGGGGCTGGCGGCGTAGCTGAACTGTTTTCCTGGTTGTCTTGGCCGGGGCAAATTGATGTATCACCAAAGTTAAGAAGATTACTAAAGTGCTACTTAAGTAAGCCTGTTCTGACATACCACTTATTTCCAATCATAAGAACCAAGTTTTGGCAAGAATGAAGCGAAGACCAGGCCAAAATTGTCAGTTGGCTCGTTGGGCCGGCTTAGCCTGGCAAAAGGCATTAGCTCACCTATTTCTCATGACTGTGCAAGAATATGTATTTTTCAGACATACATAAGTTTCTAGTTTTGTTTTTCATTGAACTTCAGAAATTGATTCGTCCAATTCGGAATCGTTGCCGATGTCCAGTCGTTGGGACTTGGTAGCCCTTTTGAACTTCCTTGCCACGCCGGTTGAGCATGCAGTAGGCATGACGATTCTGAACACTGTGATTGGTCTGCTTGCAGTAGCAGTGTATCCCCTATGTTGTACTCGTACTTGCTTATGTACAGTACACAATTAAGAAGCTACGATGTGGTCTGGTTGCAATTGTCAAGACGCTTGATAGCTCGCAGCCTGTTCGGCTGGGGTGAAACGATCGTAAATTTCCAGCCGGAACAGTATTTTTCTCTCACGTAAACCAGCCAGCAGTACTTCTTCACGAATCAGCAACGAACCAGTCCAGCCAACGAACAGGCTGTCGATCATGATGTCCTGAATGGTCCTACATGTCTTGTTGGAGAAGGATTTCTTCAGGCAGAAGAGAGAGGTTCGGCAGGAAGCCAGAGAGGCGCCAGTATTTGACAAGCACGTCTCGCCTGTCTCGAACGTCGGTCTCTCACTCTCTCTCTCTCTCTCTCTCACTCTTTCTCCAGAAAAAGCAGGAACTTCGTTTTGCGAAATCCTTTTTCAGAACAAGTTGCTCTGCTGATTCTTCGGCCCTGGTTAGTGCAGCGCCAGATTATTTCCCGGAGGATGGAAATGGTGCGAGTGCGAAGCAGAGGAGGAGCGAAAGGTGGCTTCTCTCTTTCGGTAGCTGAGGGGGTAGGTGGCGCGTCCCGGGGCCGCCAGCTCGGCGCCACCGTACTTGGATGTGAGAAGCAAACAGACAGTGGCGCCGGGCGTGGTTGGCGGAAGGCAAGAATCGCCCACCGAATCCGAATGTTTCTGCAGGGCCTATTCTCATGCGCAGGCAGCGCGGCACACGTCTCCGCACTCCGGCCCTCCACCTCCACGCCACGCCCCCAACTCATTTTCTTTCAACCGATCCAAGTTTTCCCTGGTCGAGTCGAGCCGCATCGGCGGTAGCCGTGGAACCCACGGCAATTAAGTGATCAGAGAGCGAGGGCAGCCGGCGGCGCAGCTCAGGCTCAGGCTCACCGCTCACCGCCACGATGCCCGGGTATAGATGTTTAGATGGGCTGGCACGAGGTACACATGTTTAGCCCGGTCCTCAGCACGGGCATGGCCTGTTTCCTATAGCGCTTGAGCAAGCACGGCCATGTTTGGGTTCCGGAAAGGCTCGCTGGGTGGCACGGGTACCATGGCCCGATAATGGCTGGTCCGTAGTGCCCCGTTATGCTCCTCACGTCTTGAAGCCTGGCTTCCCTACCTCTTTTCCCATCCTCGCTGTCGTCTCCCTCAGCGGCGTAGCCACATCAGCCTCGTCCTCAGCCCTTGCACCATCGGCCTCTTGCGTGCTAGCGTCGGGGCCCTTTGACTTGAGGAGGTAAATGTGACATCCTGGTCAGTTTAAATTTAGCCCATGCGCATAATGATTTGAAATTACGAAGGTTTAGTTCTACTTTTGTTGTTGATGGTCGTTTAAAGCAACATATGAGATTCCTTTTGATTGGGGTTTTTAGAACCTGCAACCAAAAGGACGAGAACACATAGCTACTTTATGACAAAAACAGTTTTTCCTCTCCCCTGCTTTCACCGCATATGGAGGTGGGTAATTTGGAAAAAAAATTACCCACCTATCAACCAAAGGTGACCCACATGCAGATGAATGAGAAAATTACTTCATTGCTCTTGATGCTATTTTCTGTCGAGTAACCCGGTAGCTCAAAGTGACTTGAGTGGCCAAGTGAATAATTGGCTTAGAGACTAAGTGATAGGGTTACTAAGTAATAATTGGCTTATAGGCCAAGTGACAAAGTAATTGAGTGACTAAGCGGCCAAGTGTCCGAGTCGCTAATTGCTTGAGTGGTGAGTGGCCGAGGACTGACTGGTTCAGTGCTTGAGTGGCCAAACCCCTAGTGACTGAGTTTGAGTTACTAAGTGATCGAGTGACTGAGTGGTCATGTGACTAAGTGTCTGAGTAGCAATGTGACTAAGTGACTGAGAGATGGGGCGACTAAGTGGCCAAGAGACTAATCTGCTAAGTGGCCGAGTGATTGAGTTGCTAAGTGTCATAGCCACAGTGACCGAGTGACTAAGTGGCTAATTGCTTGGGTGACTGAATGGCCCGATAATGAGTGACTGAGTTATCGAGCGACCACGTTAGGCGGTCGAGTGATATTTTGAGAGAATGATCATGATATTTTCTTAACAAATAATTCAGAAAATATATTTTATTATTATAAAACGTCCATAATCACAATCATAAACACGTGCATGCACACGCACATGCATAACTACTAGTCACGAAAACAAGCTTTGCATTTCTTGCCTGATGCGGCAGCACACGCTCCCTGCTTCGTCGACGCCAAGTGGCCCGAAAAAACGGAAACCGTGGCCAGAGCCCCACGGCGAGGAAACAACGAGAGAGGCGAACCAGTCACCAGGACAAACAACGCAACACACAGCGACCGTGACACAGAGACACACACAAATCAAAGCCGCCCCCCATCGTGATCACGATGACTGACGAGCGCGCAGACATGGACTGATGGATTCATCGGAGTGTACTGGGACGGCCATGGCCGGTTCAGTCGCGGTAGAAGACGAGCAGCGCGACGCAGCGGCAGATGATGCGCAGCCGCGCACCGTGCTCCTTCACGGCCCTGCGGAGGCCCCTAGCCCCGCGCCTCCCCTGTTGGCTCCTGACGACGGCGAGCTCCATCTCCTCCTCGATCGGCTCCTCCTCTGCGTCGAGCGCGCAGCCGCGAAGCGAGAACCCGAGCGCGCGCTGGATGGATGGCGCCGCGCACGCAAGGGGAGACTGGACAGCGGCCAGCCTCCTCTCCGCAGACAAGCTGCCGGCCGGGGCTGAGGAAACGATCGATCTGGACGCAAAGCGCTTGGGCCGGTGGCGTTCCGCGTTCTCTCCTCCCGCGCTTATATACTGGGCTGGCCGGCCGCCGGCGCAGGGGGGAGCGATCCTGGATGGTTCAATGTAGGTCGCGCTAGGTGCAGTCCTTGTGCCGCTACGGGCACCTAGCTCTAGCTGTGCCTGTACGTACGTACGAAGATTTTGAACGGGCTTGCTTTGCATGCGCGCAGTTCAGTGCAAATGTGCCAACCTCTACGGCTCTACCCGGATCAGTCAACTGCAAAGTCTGGAGTCTGGACAATACAGCATCTACGTACTAGTAGATGCGTGTCTACGTGTCCAAATTATTCGAGGTAATCTGGACCGTCGACTGGTTACTGATCCCTCCGTTTCCCGGGAGATCTTGACGACGCTTAACTGTCATCGAAACCATTTGCGCTCGAACTATTTTAAAGGTATAATTTGTCTGGTTTTCAAAGTTAAGGATGATATATCGTCGATATTCGAGTTTGATGGTGTTTTCTAGATTCAGCGACAAGCTACGAGCAAATCAGACTTTATTTAAAACCATAATTTCGCAGGGATGCATGCATGGTACCCAGTAGATTGCCGACGCGCGGCCGGCGGCTCGGCCAGCTACCATAGACTGGTTGGCTTGATCTAACACCAGGAATTACTTGTCCACGCCACGATCTCGCTATATTTGCACGGAAGCCAGTTGACTTGGTGTGTAGGCGTTAACGTTGGCAGAACAAAATCACATGGACCTGTTTTTAAATTCCGGTCAAACAATATCGAGCTGTTGATATATAGACCGAAATTGTAGCTAGCCTAAAATATTTACAGTCAAAGCCAATAAAAGCTTGAAGATATCGCACTTTGCAGTTGTAGGTTCTCTAATAATATTAGTCAACGCTTGCTTCATCCAATGAGGAAGATTTAGGCCGTCATGATGAAGATCACAAGCTAGATCTTGCATGCTAATCAAACCCACCCTCCTGTGTATGCCTCTCTGAAGGAGCTTCTGTAGGGTGGCAGGACAACGACGATGGCGGTGAAGGCTAGCAAGGGGTCTGGCTTCGTGACCCGGCATTCATGCTAGAGGGTTCTTGGACGAAAGCTTTGGCGACGGCGATGCCGTTGGGCGCCGCTTTCCTATTGGGGGTGTCGTGTTTCCCCTCTAATGTCATCTAAAGGTGAAAACCCAGTCCACTTTAGATGTGAGACGATGGCGCCATCGACGTCGCTCCCTTCCTGAAGGCGTCGTATTTAGATTATCCTTGCGGCTTTGATGCGAGGCGAGGGTTCGCGATTG